GGAAAGGGAAAGGGAAAGGGAAAGGGAAAGGGAAAGGGAAAGGGAAACGGAAAGGGAAAGGGAAACGGAAACGGAAACGGAAACGGAAATGGAAAGGGAAATGGAAAGGCTAAGGGAAAGGGAAAGGGAAAGGGAAAGCTTACACTCTCATTTTTGCGGAACTTTCAATTTATTAGTAGTAGATAGGAAGCATGACGACTAGCATGATAATTATACCCTATCGTATGTCGCTGGATATATTACCCAATATTCAGTACATTTTGAAATTGATCCACCTTTTAGTGTACTGCGCGAGCCAGTATCTCATTTCGATTTTCAATTTAAGTCTACCCACCCGTCTACATCTCTATCCGTATATTGCTCTCACGTTCGATTTCAATTTTCCCGATGGTCTTACGACGACTACTGTGGTAAATAACCTGTATCAGAGCGATTCTATCTACCACCTCTCCTAATATGTCACTGTATATTTTGAAAAGGATTTATATGAAAAAATTTTTCATTTTTTATGAGATATTTAGATGCGATTTATTACAATGATATATTTTAGCACAAAATCTATTGAAACTGGTTTTATGAACACTCCCCCTACATAAGGCCTAATTTAGAAAAAAAAAAAAAACATTGCAATTTTTAAATTTTCGCGGCATTCTAAAAAATAGGTCTGCTTGATCTAAATAATAAATAAAAAATTAATAAAATGTCTAAAAATTGAACATTTTCACCATATGAAAACTTATTTTCTTATATATCATAAGAACTCTTAAGGGACGTATTTTTTACGGACGTAATTTTTAAGCCAAAGTACAAAACCAATTTAGACAAATTTTCACCATAAAGGTGTTTTTACCACACGAAGATTCGGTTTTCGTAGGAACGTTTATATGAGAGGCGGTGTAAAATATTGTCCCATTCGATCCTTATTTTTCACATTCCGAATGCCGAAACTTGCAATTTCTTTTCATATATAACAATCTTTTAAAATAAGGTCTTGTATAAAGAGAGTGGACGAAAGCATTGGCCGGTGCTATCCATTTACAAATAGGGTTGCCCCTTGGAGTAAAACGCGCAATATATCAATATTTGAAAAGTACGTAAACAGACATCGGAAGGACAGACGGACAGGTAAGCTAAGACAGATTTAGAATCATCTTCTGATCGATATAATAAAAGGTAGGACTACCTTAATTTCGTCGAAATGTTACATACATCCGCGCAAACCTAATATAACTTATACTACAAATAATGAAAGGTATAAAACAAAAAAACAACGAGAATGCGTGCAGTTGCTCAAAATCTTTAAGAAAAGGATATTTTGGAATGTGTTAATATGCTGCCTGCACTTCATAGCAGCAATCATATTGAGCTTTAACACAACAAACATTTTTTTGATGGCTATTAAAGGGTGTTCGATTCCAAATCAGCTACATGACACAGTTGCAATTAACAGAGCGCTTTGCAAATTTTTCCACATTTGCTTCAAGTAGTAAGTATCCGAAATTAAATTCCGAAACGAATGCGACTCTTTTATTTATTTATTTTACAACTATTTAATGTGACAGAGGACACAATATGCGTTCATGAAATCTTACTAAATAAATAAAGGACAACAATTACATTAACTACTGTTGGCGGATGTTAAGAAATCTCAAGATTCCTTGGAGCATGGTGTAGAATAATTTTAGAATTATTATATTTGTATATAGCTAAATTATTATATTTATGTATATTATATAATAGAAATGTACGTTTATAAGCACAAAAAGTGGCTTTACGTACACTACACGTTAGACGACGAATACTATAATCAAAGTTAAATTTCTTCTTTTTTTTTTTTTTTTTTTTTTTTGTTTTTTTTCTCTTTATTACAAAGAAAAACATGCTCACAGGCGCAAATTTACAGGCACAAGCAGCACATATGGACGCATATACACATACATACACATAAAAAGATATACGCTCACATACCTTTAGGGGGAGTTGTCTGGTTCTTCATTTTGAAAGAATGTAAATAAATAAAGTTTATAGTTGCGGTTGTTGATGTTTGCTTATAAGCACGCAAATATTTCTGTTTAATACAGATATCGATATGGACACGAGCACGGACACGGGCATGGACCCAAGCACAATGAGCCTAAATATTTTTTAAAGCTCGCTAATCGATATTAAGGAAAAGTTAAATCACTCAACCAAATGTCCAATAAATTATTGCGATTCTTATATGTATACGAGCATGTACATATGAATCAATGTGCGATAATAATGTAAAATTTAAAACTTTTATTAGAAATTCACAAATTTACTTTATTACATATGTACATGCATATGAATGACAAACTTCCACTACTTACCCTTTTCGATAGATTTTATAGAAAAGGATGTTTCCCTTAGACTTGTTAACGTCTCAGCATAACTCTTTTTTTTCTTTTATTTTTTTATTTCAAGTATAAAAATGCAATTTTTTAAAACTATGTTAAAAAAATTTTACTTATTTATATTTTAAACGTGTACGTGTATACAATTTTAACAATTTTATACAAAATATGAGTTTTTCTTATTATTTTTTTTCTGCTTAAATTTCTTTTAATCTTTTGATAAATGTTATGTTTTTTTGTTGCTAAAATGCTTGTGTCCATTAATCACGTAACTCTGCAACTGATTTTTCACATTTAATGTAAATGTCTTGTAAGTTTGCATTCACACGTACACAAACAAAACTTAAAAGAAGAACAGTTGCGCATTCTTATCCTCCATCCATGTATGTGGTTTAAATGCTTGTATCAGGGGGTAGCTGTGAAAATGCGACGTAAAACGAAGCTCAACCATCAACTGAACATATGAGTACATTTAACTCTCATAGGCATCCTTGCTGTCGATGTCTCTCTTAGCTTATCGCGAATCGTTGGGAAACAAATGTCTTTTGAAAGGCTGCAAATTGCCTGCATAATCTCGTTTCGAATACATTATCTTCCGATTTTTAGATACGATTAAGTATCATTATCATTATTTATTTACCATCATTATTTATTTATATAAAATTTCTGGCCCCCAAAATGTATGCTATTTGATTTGTTTCCACAATTACGCAACGGAAAAAAAATTCAGTTCAAAGAATAACAAGCAACTCGAAAAGATATCATATCGATACATTCGGAACGATATCGCGCAAAAGAGTGTAAAAGTGAAAAACGTTTTCAAAAAAATTGATATGAAAGCGAACAGTTAGTTGCAGGGATAATATCTGTTTTATCGGCAAATTTCCTTTTGAGTGAAAAATTGGTGAACAAATTCCATGGTTTCTTCCTTTACGGAAAAACCACTGTGACAGCTTAAAAAAATAGGCGTGTTTTGATAATTTTTTTATGATGGCTAAATAGGCAATCGAATAATAATGTTATACAACGAAGTTTCTAAGCGTACATCGAAGGATTACAAAAAAAATATTATTTTTAAAAAATGGCAACATTGCAGCAACTCTCGCAAGATATGTTTTGTTTAAAGGATTATCGGCCCAGGCGTTTTTTGGTACAAATTTCAATCGAAAATAAAAACTTACTTAATGTTCATGTGTATAATTGTGTGCAATGAAGGGAGGTTTTTAAAAATATTTGCTTCTTTTGTGATTAGCGAGCATTTGAATAGAAAAATCGCATTTTCTGGAACAATAACAAAAAAAATATGTCAATCTATTGTTAACAAAAATATATAAAATTAACTAATCGAAAATCCCCCTTTCATACATTAGGCTGTTCGGGAAGTCATTTCGTTTTTTCCCAATAGTGAGTTTAATTATGTATATTTTCACAGCCAAATTGACACATAAGCCACACTTTCATTAGACATTTTTACAGCTAATATAGGAAAGCTTGTTTTTGCAAAGATTTGTATGATTCTGCGGAATTGCTTTTGTTTGGTGGTTCATCAGCTACAGAACGTCGCGCTTGCCAGCAGATAAATCCGGCATATTTTAGTTTTTTACTATCGATAAAGTAAAAATTATACTCAAGCAATAGAAAAAAAAATTGAATGTGTATAAACAAAACGTATTCACAAAAGGCCAGCGTCAAAACGGATTTACAAAATTTCGCTGATGAAGACAAAATAAGGCAATTACATGACGGAAACCGACGAATAACAATTCGTAAGTTCGCTGACAAATAACATTTACCGAATTCGACCCTTCATGATAGAATCTTTTTTTTTTTTTGACTAAAAAAGACGAACTACGAAATTATTACGAGTTGTTTATAGGCCTCTTTGAGCGTCTTTGAACTTTTAGAATGTGCTCTAGTGCTTTTCTGCGATATTCTTGCGTATCGCTCTTACTCAACGATTTTATACTCCGATATGACTCTTCCGCTGAATCGAATCTTTAACATTTTATGTGCTGCGAAACAATAGAACAAACGGCAATAGAACGTACAATACAATTATTAATTTATTATTAATTTTGGAATAAAGGCAGATCCGCTCTTCCCTGCGTTGCCTTTTTAAGCAATACAAACTTGCGTACCATGCAATAGGTAAATTCGCAAATAACTTCATAAATTTATTCTTAAACTTTGAGTTGCTTGACAGCATCACGTTTCAAAGTTTGTTCCGCTGAAGACACACTAAAGTATTTTTCCCGAATTTTTTTTAGAAAATGGCTCGAGCTTCGCGGAACTAAGTCATATTTTCGGAAAATAATTGCTTTTTCGTTCTAGCCGGTGCGGAAAGCGAAGCCAAGCAGAAAGACCGACTCGTCTTGTCAACCGCAGAGCGTCCACACTGCTCCTTAAATACTTTAATTGATGTTGTGTGCCTCTTAAGAACTGCATTGTCACATATGTGTATAGGTATAGGCCGTTTGCTAGTAAACTTCTCTATCTCTTTTTTACGTAAATTTAAAAAAATATTACCTTATTTCTGGCGATCATGAGATGATATGATTCTCAGCTTTTTAAATGTCTTCCGTTTTTTTTTTCTTTTTTCCTCTTAAATAAAATCTTTTCACAATAGAAAGGAAAAATCACATCTTATCATTTTTCGTAGATAAAGATAATACGAACTTATTTATTTTAATGCCAGTATCCATTCGGCCCTTTCTTAGAGTATACATACGTGCGAAATTAATAGCTTATTATATTAAATTAATTTATTATTAAAAACCAAACGTTTCATGCAGTTATGTGTGATGAGCATAGTCATAGTTATAAAAAAGAAAAGAGAAAAAAAAATCCATTTTAATACATCGAATTTTTCTTAACTTAAACACAATGTATATATGAGTTGATGTTTTACAATACAATTAGATGTGCATAAATAGAGAAATGCTTGCATAGTTGCCAAAGTACAGAAATGGACTTTCATTTATGCTGCGGGCGACGTTGAGAATGTTTCGTAAACATTGGCGCCGAGAGTCTTACATTTTTCGGCCACCACATAGAACGAAATTAAGGAGGTGGGTAAATTTTGAGGACGCGAATTGGCATCGAAACCTTTGGAAGTGAGGTCATTAACGATGGGTATCACTTTAGCCAAAGCCATCTGCACACTGTTTATATTGATTAGGCATTCATCATTTCTGGAAATTGAAGATGCTGGCGTACTGTTATTATTATCCGTTGAACTTGTTGAGGTTTTTAAGTCTGTAGAGTTCGGTGTCTTGCTAGGAATACAGTCATCATCACCTCGGGGCGAAGTGACTTTGGATTGTTGAGCCAAATGTATACTCTCTCCCATACTCTCAGCAATGGCATCAACAGCTAATGAGAAGCCTCGACACACATTGTTGGAACATATTGTGGTCACATCGTCACTTTCTAACAAATCCAAGGTTTCATTAAACATCTGCTGTAACAAGGAGTTATTATCACTGCATCCATGATCAGGTAACTTCGACGGTAACAAATATCTGCACATTTTCGAACACGGATCTTTGTTGGATTCGCTGTTAATAGCCATCTGCAATGACCAAAATAATTGTTCTATATCAGTTAAACTAAGACGTTTACTCAAAGCCATTTGTCGCATTATCGTCACCACTTTGCTTCGTATTAAACGTATCAGGTCCGATAAGCCTCCATCTTGTAAAAAGTGGTGCAGTAACATGAGGTACTGTTTTTTTTGTACGTCGTTTATTTCAATTTTTTCATTGTCGGATGCGGTAGCTCGGTAAGCATAACCGCCCAACACATTTAATTGTATTCGTAAAGCCACTACCAGCATAGAAGAGGCATAAATGAAAGTCGTCAATCTGGTGAAGGCGACAAATTTTATCTCCTCCCATAAATCTAACTTATTTGAAGGATTATCTCTCAACTGTTGCAATAAGTCATCAGTACTGCACTCCTTAATAATCGCCTGTCCCAGTTCTGCACTCATATTAATTATGAATTGATTGCATGTGTGTTCCGTCGATTCAAAATGTTGCAGCCGTCGCGCTTTCTCCAAAAATTCACGTGTTCGTCTTTCTTGCAAGTCAATTAACTTACGTTGGACGAACTTTAAAGCGATAAAAGTCCCGCCCACGACCACGCCAGTAATTAAAAATTTTCGACGATGACGTGTTAGAAAATCACGTAAACCATAAATCATTTTAAATAATTCTTACGCTTGCAAGACAGAGAAAAACAAAGTTAAAAATATTCCCAGATAAAGGAATGCTTGCTTTCGTTATTACTAACTCGTATAACTGAAAATATAAGAAAAAATCAGTAATTAACGCTCCACTCCACATTAAGGTTAACATAACGTTAAATTGCTATTGACAAAAACTCTAAGATATCTATTAAGATACTGCAAGAGACAATTTAGCCCCCAAAATACAATAACTTACTGTTTCATTCATTCATTCATTCATTCCTTAATTCATTCATTCATTCATTTGTTTTAATAACCATCCTAAAGGAGAGATTTTAATACCTATTCTTTATAATGGAGCAAACTGCAACTAACATAGGACTAGAATAAAAATAAATTCTTTCCCTAAAGGAAGTATGTATTCATTAAATTAAGCAAAATTGATGTGCCTCTTAGTCGTGCGCCTAATGTTCGATATGCATGCCACATTTTTTTTTCTATTTTTACCCTTCAGTAATTATTTATACGGGCAAATTAATTCATCTTACGATTAAACATGTACTCTGTGAATGCCGAAACCTTTTCAATATTCGAACACTTGTTTTCGCCATGGACATCTTGGAAGTGCCTGGAGAATATAATATCAATAATATGTATAACTTTGTTAAAATCTAGTCTACCTTTTAAGAAAACTGCCGATAATCTTGGTCACTAATGCTCATCTCTTTGGTTTAAATAAATTTCAATAATAATAATAATACGCATGCAAATTGGACGAGATGTACAAGAATTAAAGAAGGATTTGTAAAAGTAAAACAATCAGTTGATCAGTTTTTGAAGCCTTTTAATGAGATTACAGAAAAAGTTTAATGTAATCGAAATGTAAAGAACATAGTTGGCTGAAAATCTATTCTCGATTTTCTTTAATCTACTTTAATTTTGAAAAAAATATCGCATTTGCTTACAACCCGTGTAAACATTTATAACGAAAATTCATCCTCATCTTCTAAGGGGACTTCATCTGTTCTTTGAAGCAACTTACCGACTTAAGCGCTAGCACAATGATTGCATTACGCACTGTGCGTTGCGCATATGCATTATGTGCATAAGAACATAGTTCCCGTGCATTGCTAAAAAAAAATCATATGATTAGCGTTTGTTAGATAAACGTTAACCGAGTCCCAAATTAATAAAGCGAAAAATTTCTTTGAAAAATGACTTTTTTTGAAGCAAAATACAATCAATAAAGCAAAAATAAATTTTTCCCGTATAGAAATATATAGCAATATGCTTTAATTTAATAAAAACTGTAAACGGCCGCTTAAAAATCATATTGTGCTTGAAACGTGAATCACATGATCATGATTATTGTAAAAAGCTACATACGCAGAAATTTAACAAATTTGCGGACAATTTGCTTTCACGAGCAACGCAATGCAAATTATATGGCCATCTACATTTAACAATGCACATCAATTTCATTTTGACAATCCGTGCGGCACGCGCAGTGCACAACGCAAAACGCATTGTATTCAGCATTTTATTCTGTCTTTTCCCTTCTACATGTACAAGACTTTAATTTACTGACTTAAAAATCAGAATGTACAATTAAATGCCGAATCCAGAGCCAGATAGATGCACTGAATGAACAAAAGAAATTTATATAAATTGAACTATAGATGTAAGAAAAAACCAGTAGGATAGGAAAATTTGTTCTTAATTCGCGTTTTTTTTTTGTGTTTTGTTTTTCAATATGAGGCATATATATATATATAGAGAGAGAGAGAGAGAGTGCGTATTTAATGCTCCACTTTGCAATTTTCCCAGCATTTTAAGTTAATTACACTTTAGTTATACTTTCAAAAGGCATATAAAGCCAGAGTAAGCAATTTTTTTTTTTTAACGTATTTCTGACACCAATCAACATTGCAGCATTTCAAAATATTTGGTTAATTTTGAGTGTGCTAGTAAGTCAGCCGCGATCATTTTTAGCTCAAGTCATCTTTTGACCTGGTCTCACGCTGACCATTTTAACAGATTTCAGATTAGTGATCAACGAAAGTCGCAGCGTAAACTTAATGTTAATATCGAAATTGTTAAACTGTCAATGAACTTCGTCTGAAGACATGCGTTCTCCACTCCTCCCTCTCTCTCTCTCTCTCTCTTTTACAAAGGACTCAAGTATTTACTATTGTTATGATCATAATTTTAATTGAACGGAACACATTCTTGACTAATAGAGAAACGTATTTGACAGTAATTAGTTACTAAGGCTACCAGCTTTATTTTTGACGGAAAAAGTTAGACAGTCAGTCTAAATATTTTGATATAATTGTGGGTTAGATTGACTCTATTTTCCGCTGTTACTTGCAAGGTACCCAAAATTGCTCACAGTTAAGGTACCGTCGTTTCGTCAACTAGAATTGTTTGGTGCTGTTCTCCTGCCATTCTTCAACTTAACATGAGATTGTTTCCGACCCATTTCCAATTTGAACCGAAAAATATGTTTACTTGAAAAAATACTGGATGGGTGCCAGCTGACGCAAATAATGTCACAGCTTATTATCAAACAATAATCAGGTACAAAGTTCTTTTTCCAGCCTTGCTGAACTGTCATCTCGAAACCGATGCTTTCGTCACTACCAGTCTCTATTTACCTTTGTGAAGGTTGCTTGAATTGAGCTCATTGCGAAAATCTTCCGTTTATCATTCGTTAAAATTGCGTAAAAATGTAACTGAAGCCACTGCATTTTAATGTTTATGTTAATCAAGTAAAGATGTACTTTGTAGTACCTTTTCCAATATTCAATATAATAATTGTAAACATTTATTTGATTGGTTGAGCGGCTTTCGTCATCGCATAAAAAAACGTAAAATAAAGAAATTTCATTGTAAGGCGTTTCTTTATTCTTCTTTCGTATGAAAACCAAAAATCTCTTGTACTCTGTTTCTATTTTATTTGTGACATTATGTTATACTTACATGATTTTTTTAAACATTAAAACCGTGTTGTAGTTTTCTTCTTCCTCCTTTAAGGTTTTTTTCTACTTCACCTAACATGTAGTGCACTTTTAAGTTATTGATTTGTTTATTAATTATTCATTGCGATGACTTCAAAACTAACCCCATGTTATTCCATGTTTGGTTTCGAGCGTTCTTGACGGTATAACTTCATTAAATTGTGAGCTCTCTCCTTTATTATTTTATTGACTTTAATTATTTATTCATAAATTATAAAATATACATTCGAGGGCGAAGTTCGTCTTAGTGCCACCGAAACTTAAAATAATTGTCTTCCAAACAAATAAAAATGTCATTGTTTTTACCAGAATTACCATTATTTCTTTTTATGGTCATTTTAAAAACAGGGGAAATTTTTGTCAATAACGGGCAAAAATAAACAGAACCACCATTTAATATATTTTGTAAAAATCGGTAAAATGAAAAAGCTACCAAGAGTCTTCTATTGATAATTTATATGGAATAGAACAATAAATTTTTGTTATTTATAAAAAAGTTTTTTGAAAACCTTTCTAATCACAGTTTCAAATTTATGATGAATCCATTGAAAGCAACGAACACGCATACATAGCAATTTTCAGGCTTAAAATCTTAAAGTTTGCGTAATTATTTATTATGTTTCACTAACTTTGGCAAGTTAAACGGTTTTTATATAAACACACAAATAAATAAATGAATAAACAAACGCACACCAATAGACAAAAACACTTTATATTCATTGCTTTCAATGGATTGAACCTTAATTCTTACGCTTAAAAACGAAATCGGAATAAAATATGAATTTAATATGAAAACATTGGAATTTTTAAACAACAAAAAATATGTTTTCGTTCTAGTTCATAAAAGCAGAAATTTATTATATTCTTAAGAGCGATACAATATTATATCTATTATGTTAGTGAAGAGCACTAGCTATCTAGTTGTACTTTTATTCCTTATACTCGTAAGTGTAAAAAGAATTCAATCTATTTATTTCACATATAGAATAGAATCAGGACCGAATTCAGGGCGATTAATTTTTTCTCTATAAACGAAGAGTTGCAGCTAATTATGCCAACAGATTTCGTTGAATATCCCTTTGTAAAAACATCAACATATTTTTTTTGTTGTCCGGTGTTACCAGAAATTTTAATAATTTTATGCAAAACTATTTATTTATTTTTTTTTTTAATTATAATGACTTTCATCTCCCCTTTGCTTTACAAACAAACGAATAATTGCTATTTTTTTGCTATCTTTCTCACACTCATTTAAGTTAAAGACAGAAATCGACCAATGACAATTAGTTATTTTTTGCTACATGTTCTCCATTTTATGGTAAATGAAATATACACCTGTTAAACGGAATGGATCTATATGATATAATTTTGTTTACGTTCTATATTACACCTTTTATAATTTTAGATATCATAAAGAAATAATTTAAACTTTACTAAATTAACTTTTCTTCTTAATGCCATAAATCGAGATTAGGAACAACATAAAGCTGAGTGGTTTTTGAGATGAAGATTGAGAGTAGAGCAAGAACCCGAATGTAGTTTTTTTCGAATAATTTATAGAGATTCTTTTAAATCTATATCTTTCCAAAAAAAAAATTGTGATTATTTCGTGTTTTTTTGTACTTACGTAATACTAAAAGTGTATATTTCTTTTATTATTTTTAAAGGAAGGCACTTGTATTCGAATTTCTTTATTTATTAACCTGCCATTTTCTATAACTATGTTAAAAACTGTTACATGAAAAATCACATTTGCGTCCAGATGGTTCTTCCTCTTTTCTGACGTCTTCCCGATTCACATATTCGCAATTGTTCAACTTTAAACTGATACTTTCCAAAGTAATTTAGTTAAAGCTGTTTTGTTTTTTTTTTTTCTTCGATAAACCAGCATATCCTTTTTTTCGGATATCCTAACTAAAATTAATAAAACTAAAAACTGTTAACAATAACAGTTGGTTTCTTTTAAATTTATACAGCATTAATGCCACTTCCTCGTGAGCGCTGTGTTTTTATTATGCAAATCGATAATTACACCAATATTACCTCACAAAGTTCAGTTTAACCACTTTTTCAATTCAATTTTTATTTGTCAATTATGGTTGTTTTATTTCTGAAATGCTTCTATTTCTTTTTATTACAGTCTTGTTAATCTTCTTCCCCTTGACAACAGTTGTATTATCTATATGAATTCATAAATTTTTATTTCTCAATCTGCCTGCAATTTAATGCATCGCTTTTACTAATTGATTAAATACGAATGGCATTCAAATTAGTTTCAAGCAGTTAAACAATATCGCTATGAATAAAAAAACCCATGGCCCTCAAAATTTTTCTACGCACCATTAGTGCTCCGATATATTTAGAGTATGGTAAACTGTTGTTAGTTTTTTTTTTTTTTAAAAAAAAAAAAAAAAAGTATTTCATTTTTGGTTTAATACACATTTTGTCCAAACATTGAAATGGTTTTCTTTATTAATAATAATTTTTTCGCTTTCCTCTTCTTACTTAATTTTTTTTTTTATGATTTAATAAGAAATAAAGTGCATTCGTTATACAATTTATGGTTTTTATCTTTCATCTATAAATTTGTCAGTGGAGGAGCGGGTGTTTTTGTAGTATATACATATATACTTATATATATATATATATTATATATATATATATAGTATATATATACATGCAAGGGGCGCGAGCGCGCGTGTGTATGTGTGTTTATTTATATGTGTGTGTCTGTCTGTCTGTGTGTGTTGTGTGTGTGTGTGTGCTCATATGCAGCTACGTTATTCAATTTTCCTGATGTTTTCGTGTATTTTTCCGTTTAATAAAGTTTCTCTTCGTTAGAGATAATAAATATAATTTTCATATTTGAAATTGTCTTTAGTTAAAAGAACATCATTCAGTATCATTTGCAACAACTATCTCTTTAATTACTCACTATGGCGGAAGATTAAATAGATTGCTATTGTTTTTCAGGCATTTGCCTATATACTGTGTGTGTGTTTGTGTAAGTGAAAGTGAACCTGCATTTGCACTTGCTTATAAATTAATGATATCCGCTTCTCCAACGCCATTATAATAAAATAATCAATCGTATCGCTTAGTTTTTGCATTATTTTCCTTTTTTTTTTTCTGACCATTTTGTATAAATAAAAAAAGTAAGGCAAACACACATAATGAAAAGTAATCTATTATACACGGGATTGTATGCCTTCGCAATCAACAGGTGTGAGTTGCCTTTTGCTGGGACATTATCATATCGCCATGACTATTTCATCGTCAAGCATATTGAATTTGTCGAGCCTTTAATTATATTTTACAATTGCAACTATGTATATATACATATACGTATGTATATGTATATGTATATATACATATATATATACACAATAAAAATAATAATACCTCCGTTAAATATTCTCAGATAAATGTTATGATTTAAAGGCTTGCACTACCCGTTTAACGGACCAATAAAGTTAAATGTCTGCTATAACAAACAAAAAACTTTTCGCACAATTTTAAAGAAATTCAAATTAAAATTTATCGAAGAATAACAATATAATAAAGTAAAGAATGTAAAAAAGTATAGTAAACAAAAAACTGTTACGATTAAGTGTTCAGTTTCTGCTACATTTCTGGTGCATCAAATTCAATATACTTTAGATGGCAGTTTTAAAGAATTTTTGAAAAGAACATTAATAACTATAAAATATGAGCAAAGCAAGACATCATCTTTTAAACTTTTCACCTTGACTGTAGAAAAATTACTTAAAACATTTGTTTTTTTTTGTATTTAACCGCTTGTCAAATATTGTTTATCTCCTTTCAATTGCGTATGCACGCACGCTAAGTGTTTCGCTTGAATAATGATAATAGGAGAGAAGTTATGAGAGAGTGCATTTGTGTGTATGTATATATATGTATGTATGTATGTACGAGTGGTTTTTGTATACGGATAGAATTTTTTTTTTTTAATTAAAGCGTAAACGCATATATGAAAGTTATTTGTTAACAACGTCTGTTGTATTCCTTGTCGTGGGGACGCATCAGAGTACTTCCGAAACGTATTTTGGCCTTTTAGCGGCATCACATTCGTCCCCCGATTCCATATTACCGCTATAATCGGTTGGCAATTCTTCATATATTATATCAGGATGTAGACCTTGAAGTTGTTGCTGCTGCTGTTGTTGCTGTAGAGCTACAGCTCCAGTACCTGCAGCCATTGCATGATTCCGCTTAAGAGCGATAAGAGCAGCAACACCGCCACCACCACCACTATTCTCCTGCTGTTGTTGTTGTTGTTGGGATATAATAGCATTTTGATTTGTTACATAATAAGGACTACTGTTTAGAAAACAAAAACAATGCAAAATGAAAGACTTAGTAAAATTTGGTGTTTGTACTTTAATGTATACTTACTTGTATTGATGGTTATTATTGGCGGCGGCGGCAGCAGACTGTTGCACATTCTGGTTTTGATAAACCACTTCTAGTAAAAAGAAAAAATATATATACGATTAATACGTATAAAGTATGCGTACATATATTTAACAAATTGACTATATCCGTATCCATCAGTAAAAAATTGTCGGATAGTATTTTATTCATTATACAAAGTGAACACAAGACTTTTTTATGTATGCATTACTGACAATGCAAGGCCCGTCCCGAGATGGAACGAGCGAGACAAACGGTACAATGGAACGTAATTAATCATGAACGTATTAATAATAGGTGATAGAACAACTCCAATGTCGGAAAATGCATTTATCATTCAGATTGTAATGTCTCGATAAATATCTGTTTGGATTTCATAGGCTTGCAATGTATGTACTTCATGAATTACTGAATACCGTTACAAACCAATTAAAAGCTGAATGATAAACGTAGTAAAATTTTATTGCATATTTCGCGTGAATTTTTTTAAAATAAATATCACTTAATATTGACAATCCCATCATACTTGTATTTGCATAAAATTCAATGCATTCTTGTTCACGTTTTTCATTTACCTATAACTGCACTACCTGTCTGTACATATATTAAGAGTAATTAAAATTAAAAAAAAAAAAAATAGTTTTATTACTTACCACCTTCGTTATTGCGATTTTCTAACGACATGCCCGGAGACCCGGGAGCTGATTGCAGGACAATATCTTGCAACGGAGAACTTTCACGCGAATTATCAGCAGAATATTCTATAAGAAGACATACAATAAAAAAGCATATCGATGTTGCAGAGATGAATAGAAGCAACTATCTACCCATATGACTTGGCGAAACAGGAGCTGAACGTGGCATACCGTAAGATGGGCGAAAACCCTGGCTACTGCGTTGACGACGTTTTTTATAACTGTGATCAATTAATTTTGCACCACTATCTGGATCAATTCGCCAAAAGCTACCCTTACCGGGTTCATCTTGGGATCGAGCCACTTTTATGAAATATCTAAATATGTACAAATATTCAATCAATACATTAACGATCAGTTCAAAATTGATTATAAATTACCTATTTAAACTGAGATTATGACGTATGGAATTCTGCCATCCCTTATTAGTTTCTTTCCGATAATAGGGATAATGTTTAACAATAAACGAATAAATACCCGACAAGGTTAATTGTTTGTCTGGTGCCGCCGATATAGCTTGAACTATCAACTGAGCGTAACTGTATGGAGGTTTATCATTCTGATTGTAACTGGCCGTTGAAGGGGTTTGAAATAAATCTTGTTGCTGTAAAAATAAATCATATATATATATATATATATATATACATATATATTCGCTTGTATAAGCGAAAGCAATTGCATAAAATCACTTATTACATTTTGCAAATTGTTGTTAGTATAGTTGCTATAGTTTTGATTCTGATGAAAACCTTGACGCGGGCTAGCCGGACAGCTATTGGCGGCGCTAATTGTACCTATTAAAGAAAATGAATAGTCAACCATAAAATCAAATTTGCACTAATGTCTGTGTTTAAAAAACTAAGATATAGAATTTAACTTGCCAGTTGGTGAGAGATAGGGACTTTTCTGCTCCTTTTTAGGTATGGAAATTTTTAAAGGCGAATAAATCACATTCGAACTATCCATAGTTAATATATGAGAGTTACCACCACCACCGCCACCACTACTCATAGATCCGTGTTGCTGCTGCTGATGACCAGAGATATGGTGGATATGTTGCTGATGGTGGTGTTGTTGGCCTCCATATAATTGCTGATGTTTCATATCGTCGGTCATAGTTGGAGAAATGATAACATGATGTACATTGCCTGACATGCTGCTACCGCCGCTCATCAACATATGGTGAGTTGAGGCAGATGACGTAAGACTATGATGATTTCCGCTTAGAGGGTTATTAATACCGCCGGCACCACTAACGCCACCACTAGCAGAGTCTGCTACATGCAAGAAACTTTCAAACTGTATGCGTATTTCAGTGCTGGGAAAACGAAAATAGCAACTAGAAGTTTTAAAGGAAAGAAAGAAGAGATAAATGAATGCCTTATACATACATCACATAAAATATATAGATTCAATTCGAAATTAAATCCAAATGGGTTGCGGAACAGTTAGCCCTTTAGAAACGTTTTTATTTTACTCTTCTTCCTTTAACGATATTAATAACAACGTTTCTTTAAATGGAGAAATTTAGAAGATACGTTCATTGAATTGTTGATCTCCCTTCCTCGCTAAGAAGGTTAATCTATTTCCTTTATAAGTTTATCAGTAGATTGTTGGTGAGATAATATTTAAAAAAAGGCAAAAAAAAAAAAATGAAGATTATGCAACTTCGGTGGGCGCATGGGGTCTATTTCTAAAACCCCACTATATAAATCAACTAGGAGCACATGTGCACAGTTTCAGATTTGTATTCCGTACAAGATATCAACAGACAGATCAGGGACTTGCAATCCCTCTAACGAAAGCTAATACATTGATTTCGTTGGTGAGTATACAATGAAAGTAATGTTTTGTTTTTAATTACCTGGGTGGTAATTTTAATGCATCAGCGGTGCGCCTCTGCAAAAAATCGTCCACAAATATGCCATTTTTACTCAGACATTGAACATAAAATTCTCGCGTGTCAGCATCGAAAAGCACCTGAAAATGTTTGCGCGATACCAAGTTATTTTCAGCTACATGAAAATGTACGTGAGATGTTGACGAATTTCTCCCAATTACAGTACACGGTTCCGTTACGTACAATAACTCGTCGTCATATTTCAAAAAGCCAACAGCATGTTCGGGAGGTGGCGGTGGTCTTTGTTGTTGCGGGGCAGGTGGGGTGACTACTAATGACGCAGAATTCCGGTTATTTAAATTGTTATTATTATTATTGTTGTTGTTAGCAGGACAATTTAAACCATCGTTTGCATTATTACTGCTATTATTATTATTATTATTATTATTATTATGGGCCGAGCCATGATGCAATTGCAACATATCCTTAGCAATAGCCACAGTGGCAGCGTCGGCTATAACCGCTACGCCGCTGCTGTTGCTGTTGGTCAAACTGTTGTTTATGGTGAGGCTGTTGGTAAGGCTGTTGGTAGAACTTGGGGCGGCGGTGTTGTTATTATTACTGTTTTGATTAAACTGGGTGGGCGGGATATTAGAATTAAATTTGTTGCTGTTACTATTTGTAGTAGAACCGGTGGCCATGAATTCACAGAATAAAATGCTAAAAAAATTGAATCAAGAAAAGAAAAAATTTCTGTGTTCAACATTAAATCCAGAAACTAACTCCACTTCTCTTTCCAACATAATGAAAACAGTTCAATTAGGTTCAGCTTAATAATGAAATCTTATTCCGACCTCAAAAACAGGGAATACATTTAAAAAAATTAAATAAATAACTAATATTTATTTATTAAGCAACATATTGAACAATATAGGTATCAATTAAAAGAATACATCTTTGACAAATGCCAAAAGTAAATTAATTTAATTTATTTTTTCCGCATCAACTCAAAACTTGCGATAATAGAACTTGAAAGTTGGTTTGTAGAGGAAACTTTACGATAAACAAAATGATGAGAATAATAAATTACAGTGAAAATATTCGCACGAGCCAGATTTCAGTTCTCCGTCTAGAATGGAGTTGAGCTGCAAATGATCTACGGTATGTAACATTTAAATTTCCCTACGGCTAAGAAGATTGAGTAGCAGCATCCCAACGTGCTCTTTCAATTGTTACTACTTGGCAAATATATTAACATTTTATACTGCTTTTATTTATTTATTAGGAGTTCGAATAATTTTTCTATGATTCGGTCAATTTTTTTTGTGTTCATTTACTTGTACAAAAACATAAAGCACACATCAACTAACAATTAAATAAGATAATTAATCAATTCTTCAAAGCAGCGATACATAGTGACCCCAATGACGATGATGTTTAAAGTTTTAATAACTTATTTCCTTCCTTAATAGAACGCAAAAAAAAAAAAAAAAAATTACAATTATACCATACTGCCAGCATTAAATGCCCATAACACAAATATCTTACTTTGATAACCAATCTGAGCAAATAATCCACGTGGACTTGTTGAAACATGAAATTAATTTCTTCAAGCAAATAAATGTTCGAAATGATAAATGCAGAAAAATTGGGCAGAACTTGCTAAATACACATTAATTGTGAAATTGTTTTAAATACAAACTTTAATAAACAATCTCTTATAAATGTATAAATTATACTCACACTTGCACGCATTTTAAAATACTCTGTCATAAAAAAAATAATAATAATAATAAACGTTATGATCAACGCGTATAACACACACAAATGCTTTATTTATATTTAACAATAATAATAATAAAAACAAGAAGAAAAACATACTCATACACCGAGTTTAGTGTACTAATATTTACCTTTTTGATCTGATTTCTACTTGTTATTGTTGCTATTGTGATTGTTGTTATGTTTTGTGCTGCTAATTCTGGTTCGGTGATTTTTTTGTTTCTGAATCTCTAATTTGGTTTCTGTTGCTAAATGTTTTTGTTATTTTTGGTTGTGTATTCTCTTTGCTTTACTGCACGCCATACACACATAAATACTATACAAATTATTAGTAGCACAAATATTACTTTTCAACACTACTCAACACTGCAAATCTTCTTTCGTACATATATACATGTGCTTTTCTTGTGTTACACACTCACTGGAGACTTTTGATTTCTTGATAATAAGTAATTTTAATTTATTTTCAGTTAAATACCTTTAACGAAAATGTCGATTAAAAATAGTGGTTTAGTGCTTTCTCTCTCTCCCTCTGTTTTTTTGTTTTACTGTCTCTGCTTCACACGTTTCGATTACGCTGCGTGTGCCTATGTATGTAATTAGAAATATTTATATTTTTCTTGCGGCTCTTGCAAATACCAATTCAAATTCAATCGATATAGTGCGTATTTGCCGTTGTTGTTTTTAGCGTTGTTGATTTTATGATGTGGTTATTGTTGCTCTTGTTGTATATTGCACACTGTAAAAAATACGAGAAAAATAAATAAAACGTTATCAAAGCAGAGAAGAAAAAATTTTATGTACATATACTTCACAGCGGCCATTAAACTAAATACAACTCTGTTTTTTGTTTTTGTTCTGCATGTGTTTATTTTAATTTTCTTATTTAATATATGTGCATATTTTACACCATGTGTGTATGATTGTGAGTTTCTTGTGCTAAAACTAAAAGCCGCCTTGTCTTTTTTTCTGTTTTTCAATGGATCCGTACACTTCTGCTATTTGTTTTGGAGTTTTTTTTTTTCAGAAATGTTCTACCCGGTCCCCTTCTAACCTTACTTAAGTATCCATTCAATACATCACATATCGCAAAGTCCTCCATTAACAACGATTGCGTAAAACTCACCAAAGCACCACAAAAGCAGAAAAAAAGCTATTTCGATGCTGCTACTGCTTCTTTTCTCACCAACACCATTTATACAAAAGCAAACAGATATTATATACAAAATGTTTACAAACATACAATTGTTTATTCACAATTATATGAGATTTTTTCTTTTGTATGTATACTTATACACAGTAAATGACTTTATTAAATTTCGGTTTATTAGACCAATGGGCAAAAAGACAGCGACTGCTTGTGTATTTTAAAGCTTAGCACGTTTTTTGTTTTCCGTTCCTGTTTTAGTGCGGCTGTTTCTAGTTTCTATGTCGGGTATTTTTTCCTTTTGCTTCTTCTTTTTTCCACTTTTATTTTAATAGGTATATTTTTCTGTTGAGGATTGTGTGTATGTATATTTCTTACTATTTTTCTTCACAAACTTTTGTTCTCTACATATTTGTATTTATTTTCAAAACAATAAGAAAATCTTACATTTATTTACAGAATTTCAAAACTTCTGTTCTCTTCATTTATGAAAATATATTCATATATTTTGGAAAACTTTCAAAAGTATTTAAGAAGAATATTTTTGTTTTTTATAACGCGGTTACTCTTCCTAGCCTGTTTGTGCACGAACTACTCGGCTCAGTGTTGGTAATGAGTGAGATAGTTCGTTTTCCTTTCCTTCTATGAATAACGATTTTTAAATCGGTGATTATTGTCGAATTATATATACCGTACATGCACCGTAAATACTTCTCCCTAATTGAAATAGAAATATGTGTGCAAATCTTACATATTCAAAAGAACCATTATTGTCAATTGCTTTTTGCAATTCTTCTTAGATAGATTCCTCGTTAAAAAAAGATTAATATTAATTTTTCTTTTGCACTATAATGCTATGTGTTTGGAGGGTTGCTGATCTGAATAAACCGCTATTAATTATAAATAGACTATCGATGTTCTGGTAGCTTGGCATCACTTAAATAAGTGTTTTACGAATTTGTTAAATTATTTGTACAATACCTCTTTCCATAAAATGAGTGATTTACCAGAAAATTTGCAAGTAATTAAACAGGAGCAAATTTCTCCATCTACTTCAACGGAAGCTTCACTATGCCATAACAACAACATAAAGGTTAGATTAAATCTGCACGTAAAACGACGATTACAGCAAGACTATAATCAAAACAAAGACGAAGAAGCCGAGACGAATCCCACTAGTGGTCGTAATAAGAATATGCAAAGTGCTGCTGAATATAACAGAAGTAAGCAGAATATTGATGCGCCAAACGAAAAAATGATCAGACAAAAGCGGCCATACCACAAACGTACAGATAAAGTAAAAAATTCATCCACTTCAACGGATGCACCAAATCAACAAGTGCGCAAATATAAACATAAATTGAAACAGTTAGTTATTAACACAGCGGCGAATCCAGATGTGTCCACGCCAGCGTCAATTGAAGAGAGCGGACCAAATTCTTCAAATGTGGGTACCACAAGCGCTGGTGACGATGAAAACGAAATACGTTTAGGGCGGGAAAAAGACAAATGTCCGGACGTTTTGGCTATGGTGCTAAGTATGAAGAAAAGAGCGTTGCTACAAGATCCGGAAGTGCAAAGCTTTCTAGTGGAGGTTATGAAAGTAATGAAGGATTAGAATATGCAAAAGAGTAGAATAAATAAAGTCTTATAAAAATACCGCTAATGACGAATAAAACCAAAACAAAGTTCAGCTGACTCACATTAATCAAGTTGCAACTTGGCAGCACTCTGTTTAAAGTCAATAAGCTTTCAGCTTCCATATACTAAATATATGAGGTTAAAATAAAACATCAGATGCCTATTATAATTTTTTTCTAGAGGAACTTAAGAAGTTAGCAGAGATTGCGAATCAGCTTGGAAACTGAATATGTTATCACGCTTCACGGCCAATTGTGTGTTGCAAAGCCGACATAAGACGGTATTCAATATATTACCAACACTATGTGGGCAAGTAAGATGTAAGACTAAGCAAGTAGAGAAACCTAAGCCAGGGGCAGGTATACAATATCGACGTATTGTACACTTTAAAGATGAGTACACCATCGAACCGCTGAAAACAACTCATTTGGCTGGGCGCGATCCAGTCACAGGACGTGTGATAGCCAAAGGAATTGGTGGTGGCATTAAACAAAAGTATCATTGGATTAAGTGGGAAAGAGACGGTCCAACGGAAGGAGCCCCTCAAGAAGAGCGGGTAATCCAGATTATGGATGATGGTTGTAGAACTGCTAAAATCGCTTTGGTTGGCGTGGGAGATGAACTCAAATACATTTTAGCTACTGAAAATATGAAAGCCGGTGATTTAATACGTACATCAAAGTTTATACCTAGAATACCGGGTAAATAATATTTAAAACTGTCGTGATTATCAAATTAACTCGTGTTTTATAATTTAGTGCGTCCTAACGAGGGTGACGCTTATCCACTGGGTGCTTTACCTGTAGGTACAAGAATTCATAATTTAGAGAAAAACCCCGGATTTGCCTTCCATTTCATACATGCTGCTGGTACTTATGGTACAATACTACGGAAATTTGACGATAAGGTCGTGGTTCAGTTGCCATCGAAAAGAGAATTCGCTTTCGATAGAACATGCATGGCTACAGTAGGTGAGCATACATAAATTTTGTCTTGAATAAAATCGCTAAAAAATATCTTTAGGCCGTCTAAGTAACATCAATCATAATAAAGAGCATATAGGTTCTGCTCAGCGTAATCGTGAACTTGGCAACCGGCCACGTTCCGGTCTATGGCAACGGAAAGACGGTCGTTTTGGACGGAAAATACGTAAATTACCGCCTATGTCTGTAATACTACCTCCGTCTCGGAAGGGCGTAGAGCCCATTATGCTGACAATACCTTTGTGAACGTATTAACATCCCATTTCGTTTATTATCTAATTTCAATAAAGTTAAATATAAATAAAAATTACTATAAAAACAATTTATTTGCGTGATTTTTTCATGGAGAAGCCTTGACCATGGAAACTTTCTTCATTCTCAATTATATTGGTATCGTTCTCGGCTACTCGATCACTAATCGCCTTAATTGAGTGATCGAACCTTAAAAGACCGAATTTATAATCGTAATCTGGAACACCGCGAGCCAAAACCTAGAAAAAGATGTTACAAATGAAATGTGTTAAGTATTTTTGATATATATACTTACCTTTTTAACTACTGGTGCATCTAACTGATTTTCCTTTTTCTTTTTGCCATCTAGACGTACTCCCGAGCCTTTAAAAGTTTCCACCACTTCTTCCATAATATGATCTTGTGGCGCTTCGTCTCGTATATTTTCTTTCACTTGCTCAGATGTATCTTTGTAGCCCACAGGAGCCTCAAATTCCACATTCATGTCGCATTCTATTATGCTAACTGCATTACCTGGTTTTGTTTCCAAAACACACAATTCATAAACTTTTTTGTTATATTTGATAGCTATGACATCGCCAGTTGTTAAGCAAGCAAAGTTACGTAAAGCATTTTCCAGAACAGCTTTCGGATTAGTGATGTCTAAAAAGTCAGTACTGTGTGGCTGAAATTTGGAGAATTTCGCTACTGGCAGCGAGACACTTTCAATTGTAAGTATATCACCCTCTTCTAACAATAAGTTATCCATCATCCAATAAGGCAAGTAACATTTTCCTTCATCGGCCACGAATTCCAAAACCCCAGCATGTGAATGCCGACCTTTTTTATTGTTTATCAATTTGAATAACATTGGGTACTCAACGTTTAAGCGAGTTAATGTATCCAAAGCCGAAGGAGGCATAATTACTGCAACGTATTTTAAAATCGTTCTCATATAATTTAAGTCTCTTGTTTTTTTTCAGACTTACTTTTACCACCATTCTCTACATCCTCCCGCTCGTTACCTGGTAACATGGATACTGAAAAACATTTGTAAGACGCCTTGAAGGTTCGGCCTGTCTCCGGGAACATCATATTGAAACCACTAAATTGAAACTAATATTTTTACGTTTTATCTAAAATTACACTCTCCCAAATGAAATTTTCTTTTTTACTTACCATGCTTTAGGCTTTTAGAATATATTTTCCGCTTAATTGTATTTATGGCAAATATCGCAATTATAATATCCGTAGTTCCCTTTTCAACTGAAATAATATTGTATAGTCAGCAAGCAAAATTGGTAGTGTTTATTTGCGTATTTTGGATTTATTACAATTTTCTCTCTCGAAGTCAGCTGTTTTTATTTTTCGTTTTTAACATTTAAGCGTTTTAAGGGCTGAAAATAATAATACATTCGCTCGTTTTAGACACGGTAATTTCATCTTCTCTAGTTTAGTGTTTTGGAAAATACGCGAACTGAACTTATTTAATTGTACAAGTTAATCTAAAAGTAGACCGCCATAATTTTTTTTTATTATCAAATTAAACAAAACAGTAGCCAAATTTTCTGCTATTTACAGAACGAACGTAATACTTTATTTTAATTTGCAAAGTTGTCGGCAAAAGTCCCCCAATTTTATATATTTTATTACTGCGTAATACAACCCTGTAGAAGTGTAGCTCACGATACAGAGAGGAGAAAAATTTTTATTTGCAATTTGCATTATAAATGCCGACGGAAATTTGCATTTTTCATTTTGCAATGCCGACGGCAATTTGCATTTTGCAATGAATTTTAACAGGTCATAAACCTCTTTTAACAGATTTCGTGAGTTACAAAGCTGGCGGTTTTGCAAATTAAACGATTTGGCAATTTAAGTTGTTAGTTGGGCACTCAACCATTTCAGAGCATTTTTTTATTTATTATAAGCGACTCTGTGCGTTGCCTTTCAACAGGGAATTTAGCGAGGGCCTTGTTTAAAAATTATGGCGGTCTAATTTTAGGCTAACTTGTAAAATTGAAGAAATTAAGAAATTTTATATGAAAATATCGATTTATTAATAAAAAATAAAGAAGCATTAGATACTAAATATCCTAAAGTTTTCACTTTCACTACTTACCTTTCACTACTTTCCTTTTCCTTTGTTTTGCCGACGGCTTTGCATTTTAATTACCTGACTACGTCGTCCTCATTTTCCTTTTAATTCTATTTTTAACTTCATTTCTCCAACTTTATTTTTTACACAAATAAACATTCTGGACTTATGTTTCACTTTTCTCAGTATTTTATCCAGAATTGGACAGTACTCTTCTAACTGCTGGTATATCTATGCCTGTTAACACAGGGGATTATCGGAAAAATTTGCTGTGTACGCCTCGAAAGTTACAGGTTTTATCCATTCTTTTTTCACAAACCAAAAAAAGAATATTTGCATCGATAAATCAATGATCTTGTAGCGCGGAGGATCCCACCTTTTATTATACCGATCGATTCAGAATCATAATCTGAATTGGCCCAAGCCTGTCTATGCCTATGTCCAGTCGCAATTCTTGAGATATTTTAATGAAATTTAATATATAACGCATATAACGCCCTATTGTGAAAATTCGTTACATGGAAAGAAATGGTAATTTTTAAAGTTTCTCGGGAAAAGTGGTTAAGTAATAGTATTTCGGCATTCTAAATTGATATGAAAACTTTGGAACAGGTAGGGCAACTTTTGTATCCCCTATAACGAAAATGGTATAATTTTCAATGCTTCATGATGAAAATTATATCATAATAGTAATTTAACATAAAAAAAATAACTGTACCAAATTTTGACTGTCTCGCCCTAGTTTTTGGATTCTATCTTAATAAGGATTTTCACGAAAATTTGATGCTTTATAGAACAGAAAAATCTAAATTTTATATGTGATGATGAAAATCTATCCATAATATCCTATAATAATGAACTCTACAAAATAAATTTTGTTTAAAGACCACGTACGTCTATTTTTGAATTCTGTGCTGTGTAAGAATTAAGCCTATACTACATTAGGTTGCGTTTTAGGCCTGTTACTCCATAAATACGCACATTAAAAATAAGTATTGTGTTAGACAATGTGGTAGAGGGTATTTAAAGGTTGGATTCGCCCGACCATGATGTTCTTTCTTGTTTTTCTCCGTAGTTTTACCAAAACGGTTCGAGGCGAAGATCATTTCAACACAAACTTTTTAGATTTACTTAGGGAAACAATGAACAAGCAAACTTACTTATGTTTTGCTATAGCAGATATTCAACAATCCGGGTCGGTTTAGTGTTAAATTATAATTATTATTATTATATTATATAATTTTCTGGGTTATAATTGTACTATTTTTTTAAATCATGGTTGCGTCCAATAGGAAATACATTCAAATCCTAACGCAATAATAATTAACTTAGGAAGCCCTATTCGCAAACTTTTACAAAGGAGAGACACGATTTCTTTTCTCGGTGTCAATAGACCAAAGAGGGGGGTGCGGCTCTCGGGCTTAAGACGTACTTATATATACTTATACTAGTTCAAAGAAATAAATACAACTTTATATAACCCATCCTGTTGCTATATATTAATTTATATAATTTATATTTAAATATAAATAGCTTTATTTATATAATACCTTTATTGTACATATAAAATATAACTAAACAAATAAAATTATAATTATAAAATGTAAATAAATAAAATTATTGCATTATTGCATTTTTGGCGATACCATTGTTTTTACATTTTTCGAACAGGATATATAGGTAAATAATGGAAATAATCAATAAACAAATTGTCCGTAACAAGAATATACTGACAGAGAGAGAGAGAGAGAGAGAGAGAGAGAGAGAGAGAGGCTATAACTTAGGCTATAACTTAAAATAATAATAATTCATCTCGTGGTTTCTTTCTAACATTTCTTGGAAAATCTCTTCAACTCCTCTACCGCCTAAACATTATATTTATATATTTACGCAATAAATTTACGCAACATTTTCTCTTTGCAATATGCTTTTGTATCTCCCTACCAAAACCTTATTAAACATTATTAAGCATACTTCAACATTCTTAAACATGTTAAATATAAGCAGAGTTAAACATCGAAACCTTATTAAACGTTATTGAACATTATTATTTTGACTTGACGATTTTTTCAATTCCCTGTCATATATAGTGTTATGGAGTTTTATGATGAAAATAGATCTAAGATAATGATTTTATATACAAACGTTCTTTTTATTTGAAATATTTTTAAAGTTTCTCAATTTTTCACTCAATTAATATTTTTGAGTTACTTTTCTTTCATTTTTTTTGCAATTATTCAATTCCTACAACTGCTTTGTATATTAAATTAATTTTATAACGGAGAAAGAGACATTAGGCATATAAGCACGGTTTTCCATCCTTGAGCATCGTGGTTAGGCGCCATAAATAAATGGTTAAGTTCTTTGTTGAAAGCACAGAGTCGCTTTTAATAGATAAATGGTTAAATGCCCAACTTAACAAAAATGTTAACGCCAAGCAGCTAATGTTAAAGGCCCAACTTAATCGACAAAAGGGAATCGATTCTGTTAAATAACAGACCAAATGCCCAACTTTACCGACAAAAGGGAATCGATTCTGTTAAATAACAGATCAAACGGATTCGATTCTGTATAACTTGCTTACTCCCACAACAAATGGTTGAATACAAGAAATTGAAATTATGACTTAAACTTCTGCGTTTATCTACGCTATTCTTTCTAAATTTAATGATTTAGTTTATACAGTATTGTCTACTCCGTTATTTTTTTTATACAAATTTGAAAAGAGCAGGCTACAGCAAGCTCAATTTGGTTCATGCGTTTTCATTGTTTATCTAAGAAAGCAAAAAAGTGATTTTAAAATGATGTGATGGTTTTATGTAATGCAAACTATTGCTATAATTAGTTATATATATTATAATAATAATTATTGTTAACTTAAGGCAAAACATTAACACTTTTTTGGTCGTAAATATTAACTCTTAATAAAAATATTTCACTGCGTCAATGTTTACATAGAAAAAACGAATCATATGGTCAGTCTTTCAAAAACATCTAATCTTGCCACAAAACGCGAAGTACGTTCCAAATGCGTTCATTTTATTTGCAGTGATTCCGTAAAGAAGCGTTCTTAAATTGGTACAACTCACCGAAGAGAGATTTTTTTGTATTATATACAATTTATGCAATATTGAAACAGTTTTATTTTGCCTTTTAAGGAAAGTAAATTGAGGGAGATATCAAAAACACGATAATTCGATGCATTACACATAATACAAAAGAATGTTGTTGAAAGGTTGCTATTGTCTTCATTTCTATTTAAATATGAGAGTACACAAAATTGCAACGCTGCAATTTCTTGTTTCGCATAAAGTTACAGATAGTAAACTTCATTTACTTAATGTTTGGTATAAAAAATTTTCTTAGAGAAAGGAGTTTTTAAGAATTAAAAGAACATGAGTTCCTCTGTGCATTGCCAACTATGGATGGGAAGTTTGGAACCATACATGACTGAGAATTTCATCATAGCAGCCTTCCGAAAAATGGGCGAAGATCCTACCACGGTGCGTCTGATGCGCAACAAATACACTGGTGAACCCGCAGGTTATTGTTTCGTTAATTTTGCCACCGATGAGCAAGCCATGGATGCTATGCATAAACTGAATGGAAAACCTATACCAGGAACGAATCCTATCGTAAGATTTCGTTTGAATAGTGCCAGCAATTCTTATAAATTGCCAGGGAATGAACGTGAGTTTAGTGTTTGGGTTGGTGACTTAAGTTCAGATGTGGATGACTATCAGCTGTACAAGGTTTTCTCGTCAAAGTATACATCAATTAAAACAGCCAAAGTTATTCTGGACAGTTCTGGATTCTCTAAAGGTTATGGTTTTGTGCGTTTTGGCATCGAGGATGAGCAGAAATCAGCTTTATATGATATGAATGGGTATATTGGGTTGGGTACAAAACCTATTAAGATTTGTAACGCTGTGCCTAAACCAAAGAATGAATTAGGCGTTGCGTTAGGTACGACTAGCAACTATGGATATGGAGGTTCTGCAAATGCCAACACATCCACAGCCACCGTTTCGGGAACTGATTATTCTCAATATTATGACCCAACTACCACTTATTGGCAAGGTTATAATGCTTGGCAAGGTTATTACAATGAAGCTGTTTCCTCGGTTGCTGACGTTAGCGGCGCATATTACCAGCAAAGTATGGTTCAATCACATTCTAATCCTCAAACTTTGGCCGAGCATGCTGAGGCTTGGAGTGCTCAACGTACCGCCCAGTATGAACAACAGCATACAGCAGTTGCGACAAATGGGGGTCCATCTGAAGAGGACGATTACGCTTTAGTTGAACACAGGTTTATTTTGGATGTTGATAAAATTAATCGTGAAGCGTTGGACTCTGATCGTAATTTGTACGATGCTCTAGAAAGCTCCAAATGGCTACCACTTGAACAATTGGAGGCTTACTGAAATTTTAAATTAAATAAAATATTCTTACTACAATCTTAGCAGACTTAAAATTTAAAATCCTGACGTCAAACGCATTAGTACAGTGTACAGAGTTTGAATTTAGTTGTTTAGCGGAATATAGTTATGGTATATTAAATATGCACTTTTTGCTTTTGCTCGACGTTATTTTTTTTTCTTTAACATAATTCCCAAGAATTAATTCTCGAAGTCTTCTCTATTATCATTTAATAGAAATAATTGTTGGCTTCGTTGCCCAATCTACGTTTTGCTATTGGGGAGTTATTTGGGTTGCCGGAGTAAATATAAATTTTCCATTCTATAGGTTGCTTTCATCAGGGGGGAATGACGTAATTGAAAATTAGCTTTCGCTCTCAGAAATATTCAGCCATTTTTGTCCAACAGCTGAACACAATAGCGAAAGTTAAATTTCTCACGCGTGTTCACCCCCAAGTGGATTCTTCACATAGGATGGTTTAGAGATTTAAGGAGCGTAGTGATTTCTTAATATGTAATTCGTTTGAAAAGTGCGAATAAGTGAGAGGGGGAGATCGAAAGCGTAAAAAATAATAGGTACTTGCTTGTATTTCAATCGGCGACATCTGTTGATCAAAATTATAAAGTAATGCGAAATATCATTGTACACAAATGTTAAATTCAATGATTTCGACATTCATCTACATAAGATAACAGTTTTCCATTTTGGTATTACTGAGTTATGTAGCATTTACAGACGCTGATCAATGGAATGCTCAAAATTGCATTTTCGACATTCGTCACGTTTGTGGTTCGATTTAAAGAAATCTACAATCTTCAATCTTTAAAAGAGACAAATTAAATGTCAATGACAAGCAAAGGTCTGGAGGGGAAAAAAAGTTCGAAGACAATGAACTGCATTACTTATTTATGGAAAAGCCAGCTGAAATTCTGAAAGGAACTTTCGAACAGTTGATGAAATGTCTTTGGATGTTCATATGCGATTGGAAAGATGCAAAGGTAGGGAAAGTGGAAAGATGGGAAAATGATGGGAAACATTTTGATTAATATATATGGTATTAATTTTTCTTAATAGATGTCTCTTTCAAGTGTAAAAATGATCAAAATACATGCAATCACCTACTCTGCTACATTTTTCGGCGAACATTAATTTTCATATATATGTTCGGTCTTGGTGTATTATAAATTTTAATTAATTATTCCTAATAAATATTATTTTTCATTTTACGTCAGCAAGTACAAAGTACAGTTTCGCAGTCTCGTTTTGCACTTCTGTTTGATGGTGAAAAGTAAATCATTGCAAATAAATTACTAGTAAATCAAAACAACAACAAACATAACGCACATGTTATGTCAAATTGTACGCAAATGAAATAAACCTCTTATCACTAGAAGAGAGCCAGAGAGAAAAAAGCATTGGCCTTAGTCAATTGAAAGGGGGTAGGAAAATGATTTTATTTTTGTGCCGCAATAATTATTGATAAAATAGCATGGCTCTCTAAATTCAAGTGACTTTAGAATATTGAGAAATCAAGTTTATTCTTTTTCTCTACACAGTCGTACAAGTCAAACTACAGAAACTACACAGTTGGATTTTGTGTTTGTGCGTTAAAGCAGTGAAAAAAAATTATTTTACCATATTTTTTTTTTTTGTTAAACAAGTGAGTAAAACCTATGTAAAATAAAAAGCAATAGTTCCATTAAAAGCAGAGTTTCCATAAAACAAATAGCATTTTGCTAAATAAAATTTTACTATTTTCTAAAATTTATATATGATTGATGCTGTGTGCGTTATGTTTAAGTGAATGAAAAAACTCGTCAAGTTTATAAAATTTGCTTTGCAGCCATAAAGTGACAGTCACACATGGCATGGAGATTTTCGGTATCTATAAATGCATACACATATTGACGGGTGTATCCTTATGAATTGTTTTTGTTTGGAATTTTATTCAATGTGATATGCAGATAATCAATTCAGCCGCAAATCTTCTGAGTAAATATGCTCTAGTTCTTGGCACTTGAAAATTAAGTAAAAAAAAAAACGGATAAATAAAAATTTCAAAAAACAAAATAAAATAGAAAATGTATTAAAACGTTCGCTACATGTTTTCAAAACGGAAGGCTACATTTCACTTATTGTTATTATTATTCATTATTGCTATTATCTTCAATGTTCATGCAGTTGTACATACACTATAGTATGCATGCGCATACATGTGCACAAATTCTATTATATTATAATGTAAACTTTTCTTGTTTTTAGTATGTACCGATTTCCGCGTTTCCTTCGTTTCGTAAATAAACGAAAATCAATAAATCTCGAATAGTTTAAGGTGTTGTTGCAATTGTACAAGTCGCACTTAGGCGCCAATAATTCGTATATACGTTTGAAATTTTCGTTTTGAAAAAGAAGAAAAATAGAAATCTGCAATAATGAACCCATTGGCCATTTGAGATTACATACAACAACAAATTACGCAATAACACTAAACCCTAAAAAAGCAAACAATGTCCTTGAATTACACGCAAATTCACAAAATGACGTTGGAATTGAATATTTGCTTTCGACATAAGTGAAAGAAAAATTACACAAATACTTGTAAAGGTAGACAGACAGATTAATTATATATACTAGAATTATATATATGCAAATGTCATGATAAGTTATCGTTATTAAACATATTTCAGCTTCATTTCTTAATTACACGCAGACAAAGCCATTCACGTGTTTATTGCTTAAAAGAGAGAGGGAGATGTATGCATGGTTCTCTTTTCTTTTTCTTTTTCTTTTTCGTTTTTTTTTTTTTTTTTTTTTGTTCTTTCTCTCAAAGCAAATAAAAAGTGTGCATTATGCTGGCAAGAATCCATAGTTAGATCGGTTCGTATCGAATCTACGATTTTCACCATCTCCAATGAGTTTTCCTTTCTTCGACAACGGTGAACAGTAAGTCGATACACCAATTCACAAAACTTTTTCAAAGTAAATTCTTACATTTACGTAGGCTTTTTTAATTATTATTATATTATATTTATGTCAAGTCGTCCGATCGTTTCAATTGAGCGATTATATTACCTTCTTAACCTTTCCAATCCTATTCCCGTCACTTAACCTAACTATGGTTTTCTATACATGATAGAGATTCGATTCGGTTAATTTTCCTTGTAGGATGCAATTTAATGAAAGCGACATGTGAAAATTGTTGGCATATATTTTAACTTATTTCTGATTCAATTATGATCAAATTTTTAAAATTGAATTAAAAATCATCATACAATGGCCTTTTGGAATACTCGTAGAGGTATGTGTACTTGAAAATGATTACAATGTGTACTTTTTAGTATAGGAGCGTGAAAAATAGAAAAATCGTTCTTTTATGATGATAAGATTAAATATAAATATATATATAAATATATATATGTACTCATTTTAGATGCAACATTTGTAATTCCTCAAATGATATTTATTTTAACGATTGCATGAATTTCAAGCTATAATTTTTCTAGCTATAAAGTGACCAAAGGATGAGGGCATACTTAATTTGTTGTCTCGTTCGTAACGTTGGGATGAGCGTCAGGGTATTCTCGTTGACTGCTATTAACGACAAGTTAACGGTCGCACAATATTGGGACAATTCGCACATGTTGTGTAGGTTTAGTTGATAGATATAAATCAAATTCGAAATAAATTTGACTGGTAATAGGCAGAAAACATCATAATTTCAAATTCATAAAATTTGGAAAGTTTTTGGCTACACATTCCACTACCACTTAAAATTTCTTATTCCTGTGACGATGGGTGTTAAAGATTTACCACAAAGCGACTTCTTCTTCTTCTTTTGTAGATTTATATTATTCTAGACCTTGAAAATGCATAGAATGGCACATAGAAAATCCCATATATTAAATGCATTCTCAGATGTTGAAAGATTGCGTCTAAACCAAATAATGTTCTTCCTATGAATTGGCGTCGAGACTAATGGGCAGAAATTATTGTTTGGTTAAGCGTTTTTTTTTTTTCTTTTTCGATTTGGATTTGGATAGTTTTTGCTTTATATCGTTTTATATTAAACGCTGACACTTGAATTAAAGGGCATAGGAAACTTGAAACAAATTTCAATTTATTTTCCGAGAACAGGTATAAATACAAAGTCCGGATTCATATTTTTGGTCTTGGCCTCATTTTATCGTTGCATTAATAGGACAGTAGTACAGTACTACTATAAATGTTCGTGTATTGTTATATATTACGTTATACGTACATGCATACACACTTGAATACATGCATATATATGTGAATATATGAATAACAGACCGGCCAGAAATATAGAGAAATGCACGGGTAAAATTGTAATCAATTAGGTAACATTGTCAGTTAGCATCTTTTTCTCGTCATTATTGTCGTTTTAATGACCAATGGCTGTATTGTTGTAGTTTTGCATCTAAATAAGAAATTCAAATATTTAAACATAGGTACTAGGTACACGTTTATATGCGCGACAACACGAGCAAATATTGTTGTTGTATTTTCTTGAAATTACTTATAGAATCACATGGTTGTTGACTGTTCAGCTACTGTTCATAGAATTATTTATTTGTAATCGCTAATGTATCGCTGTTGCTATATAATAAGCGAACGAGCGTCATCTTACTTAATGGGGTATGTGTGCATTCGTAAAAAGAGAAACAGAAGCAGGAAAATACCGGGTGAGGGGAAGAGTGGAACGCGTTTTTCATATAATATATTATCAGCCGATAAACTCGTGCTTTTTGCCTGACAGTGCATTGAAACTGAAGATAAAATGTGAACGATTTATTTTACATGTGCATACCGTCCATGTATGTGTATGTAAACATGAGTGGATAGAGTGTAATTTGTTTTTTTTTTCTTTTTCCCTTCCATTCATTATACTTCGTCACGTTTTAAATATAAATTTAGCAACACGGCAATATTTCGATTTGCGTTATTGCGTGCGTGCGTTTATGTGCGCTTCATTTTATTTTATTTTAATTTATTTTATTTTATTTGAAAAGAGCGAGACATGTTGCTGTTAGAGTTATGAAAGAATTTGACCGAGTTTCGATTTATTTTTATATTA